GTATTAACCCATTCCCCAACTAGGTATTGTCGGCGGTATCCTGCTGATCGCCATCATCGTCGGCCTGTGCATCTTCTGCTGCTGCCGCCGCCGCCGCCAGAGGCGCATGCTGGAGCAAGCCAACGCCACCACCACCTACGTTACGCAGCCGTACGGAACGCAGCCGTACGGAGGTTATGCCGCCCCGAAATGAGAATGTTCTGGCCTTTCTCGGTTGATTTGTTCGCTGTATTTTTTTTTTGCGTTGATTCTCCTATCCATCCATCCCCCCTTGCCTTCGTACCATTGTCCCCTCATCATGCGCTACCTCCCACCATGGGGCACCCTTTGCCCTTCCATCCCATCCCTTTGTATTGTGGTTACTTTTCAGTAGCCTTCCCACCCGCCTTTCCTACCTCCCCGCTCAAGCCTGTTTCCTGCTTCCAGACATAAAATCTGGCTCTCAAGGAGCCAACCCTACACGAGGACAAACGTCATGAATTCGAGGTCTGTAGGAAGCGGGGTCAGGGGTCGTGAAGGGAGCGCAAGTTGAGCAGCCACAAGAGGAAGAGGGCGAGAGAGTGAGAATGAGAGAGCGCGGCCATCACAGAGGCGCGTTACCCTGTCTTTCACTCGGGTGCTTCGGCTCCCACAATCGATTTGAGCCAGAAGTAGCATCCGCAGCTACAAAGTGGAACAGAATGGAAAAAACCATTAGAAGAATAAACAACAGCGACCCGAAGGTCGCGCTGACGTTCAAAACTAAAACTTCAACATGCAATGGGTCTGAAACAGTGAAGTCTGACCTCAGGAAAAAGATGAAGCGTTATAATGGAGAAGCCGGGGATTGAACCCGGGGCCTTCCGCATGCGAAGCGGGCGCGCTACCACTGTGCCACTTCCCCTATTGCGTGACCTGCAGGCTAAGCGCATAATATGGGTAACCAGATTCACGGACTGATCCAACTCGAGATCCAACTTTATTTAATGAAAGGGTTGCAGGTGAGTTTGGAGGAAATAGAAGATATTTATGGTCAGTCCTTCGTCCAAACCCGACCACTCAGGCCGCCAGGCTCGCCGGCCCACCGACTCTGGTGCCGCCTCCACATTGGCTGGCGCTGCCGCCACCGCCGCTGCAACAGCAACAGCGGGGTCGGCCGCCAGCCTCCAGCTCCTGCACCCTCGCTACGAGCCGCCCGACTTCGCAGCTCCACGCCCGTTGCAGCGCGCCAAGTGCTTCTGTCAGCCGTAATAACGCCGCCTCGCCCTCATCCAGCGCAGCCGGACCGACGCCGCCGCTTTCGATTGCGGCCACGCCAGCCAGAACTCTTCCTGGAGTTGCGACGCGGGGCCGCTTCGCCGCGCGCCGTGGAGGCGTCGAAGGTGCGGCGCGGCGAACACCTTCGGCGTCGTCGTCGGAGCTTTCGGATTGGTCTTGTAGTTGCCGGCGCCTTTTGCGCACGACAGCCGGAGCTGGCGTGGTGGTCGCCATCTCCGCCGAAGGACGTCGCCGACCAGGCTGCGGGCTGCGGAGCAGGATAGGTGAAGTGGAGGCTACTGAGTGTAAGTTTCGGTCAGGCGGGTCGAGTTGGAGCGATGGAAGCGGAGTAAGGAGGAAGAGGAATCCCGGCGAACAAGGCTGTAGTGGATGGGGGAGTGGGAGAGATGATTGAAATTGGATACTGTCGTGCAAGGGTGGGGGGAGGATCGAAATGTGCACCTGGAGGTGGTGCCGGCGACGGCGGCTGTGTTGCGGGGCCGACAGACGGCCCCGACTCGGTCCGTCCGCGGGCGAACACCGGCGTTGCCGCCCGCCGTCTGTGCCCGGGTGAGCTCGGCGGCGTCGACAGAGCCTGCGACTGGTGCTGCGGCAGCTGCTGCGGCAGGTCCCTGGGCCGCGGCAACGGCCCAGCCTCCGCCGCCGCCGATGGTCGTCGACGATCCAAGAGCGGGCCGGGGGACTTTCGGGATGCCGGCGAGGAGGCGACACCAGCAGCGCTGGCCGCAGCAGTGCACGCCGGCCATTCCCACCCGTCGTCGAGCTGTGCCTGGCTGTCCAGCATGTCGATGACGGGGATGTGCCGGCGCGCAACACATTCGTCGCCACGGCCCCTGCCTTCGCAACCAGGTGCAGATGGAGGTTGTTGCCGTCGCCGCGGCGGGCGCGGCCGCGCAGGAGTGCCGGGCGGGGATTGGAAGGCGTCGTCGTCGTCGTCGTCGTGGCCGTCGCTGTCGTCAATAACTCTTGCAGCGGGGCGACTGACGCTAAGGGCATGTGACAATGATCTTGGGCGAGAACGCGGTGGCGGCGTCGAGCGAGGTGACGGCGAGCGCGGCGGCGAGCGGAACGGGTCTGGACGGCGGAAGGAGGCTCTTCGTGCAACGGAGGCGGTAGTGGCGTTGGCGGCAGAAGGGTGTATGCGGACGCCGCGGTTAGCGCGGCTGGCGCGGCGGGTGGAAAGCGGTGGCTGTGGCTGGCGGGAAGGACAGTGGGGCGGTAGCGGCACCGGGAACGTGGGCAGGGCGGTGGCTGAGGATGCGGTTGGCGGAACTGGGGGGTCTGTCGACGGCGCCGCCGGACGGCTGCGAGGTGCCAAGAGGGTGTTGCCGGCCATCGTCGACTCGGCGGAGTTTGAGAGGAGGACCTTGGCTGACAAGCAGGGTTTGACAGGACCCCTTTCCCCCCATCGTACATTCAACTTTGATGTGAGGCGATTGTTAGAACCTGCTTAGGTGACTGGATATTGGTTGGCCTAATTCGAGTCCACTTCTTGACTGAGGTGCAAAATCGGGTGTAAAGCTCAGATGGCGTTGAATAGGGATGACAATTCTAATTGTCGGGGTGAAATAGAAAGCCTTAATCGAAGGACCTGATCTTGAGCCTGCAAACCACGATACTGTTTGCCCCCCCATCATCGTCAACCACCTGACCGACTCTGCCACT